GGCTCTGGGGAGGGCGGCCCCGACTGCGCAGAGCGAGGGGCCGCCCGCAGCCGTCCTGGAGGTCCCCGCGCGGCTCTCCGGCGCGTGTCCACGTCCTCACTGGCCCCCCACCTCCTCTGGCTCCCACCAGCAGGGTACACGCCCTGCACCCCTTGCCCCCGCCCTCCCCAACCCCAGCAATCGCCACAGTCCACCCTTTCCCCTCAGCGGAGGGGCTGCTTTCTGCTCCAGCGGAACCCCGCGCTCAGGAGCGGACCTCGAAACCCCCGCGAACCTATGGGAGAGGCCTGGGCGTCTTCATTTCCTGGGGTGCCCCAGTTCTGGAAGCCGGCACAGGACTGGGACATCCCGCTGTGCAGGCCTGGCTGGGGGAAGCAGCCAGGGGCACCCCAGCAGAGCGCTCTTCAGGACCCCTAGCTGGCCGGCGAGGACACCCCAGCCACTCGGGGCAGGGAGGACTCTCACCTCGCTTCCCGGCTTGAAAATGAAGTCTTGGCTTCGGTGGTTTCCTCCTCCTCTTAAAGCCCACGTCTGGGCTGACAGGGGATGGCGCTCTCAGCGGTCACCCCACTCCCGGAGAGGGCTCTGGGGCGCAGCATTCCTGTCCCCCTGTGCTTCACCTCAACACTTTCAGGTAAAACCGAAAGGAGCCGCATCTTTGAAGACAATGGCGCTCCTGATGGGGATGTGCGACCATCTGCATTCAGCGCGCCCTGGGAGTTACTAAAGCCTGCCAATGCCATGGACATTTCCCACTTGCGTTTGTAAACAGTAAGGTGAGGAGGGCAGTGTAGAGACCTGGGGCCTGACACCCCGCTGGAGCAAGAGTCAGCTAAGGCTGAGTGCATACTAGGGAGGAAAAGTATGAAAGCTCATTATTTCCTATTTCTTCCAGAATGCCTGGGAAAGTGTGATAAATCTCAAATAACAGATTTCACCCTTCCTGCTAATTCTAAAATAAACTATTTCCTTTTGAAAGGCAAATTACTTCCTTCTGCCAATTCACCATCCAGAAATTACTTAAGGTACAAATAAAAGCCCCTTTATTCCTTAAAGAAATCAATGAGCAAATGAAACTTATTTGTGTGCTCTACAGCTTATTCCAGATTATATTATGGGCCCTATGGTGGTCCGATTATTACATATATTTCAATCAAGTAAGATCAGAAAATCATGTGTATGTATGTAAACAACCCTGTCAGTTGGTCCTGTTACTTTACATGTTCTCACAGGGGATTGTAGGTCTGTGAATCTGTCTCTAGGGAGTCACACAAAAGCACAGGTGACATGATAAAAAAAAAAAAAGGGAGATGAAGGGGGGCCAGGTAGTTTCTGAGGGGAGGCTTCGCTGTGGTGCACAAGCTTTTCAGTTTGGTGGGGCGCTGCGAGTTGGTTTAGCCTTTGGAGGAAGCGCTAAAACAGCTGTCGGTGAGACGAAGTTTCGGAGGTGACGGCCGGTGATTCATCCTCACCGTTCCGTATCTCTCATTCAACATTAAAAAAAAGGTAAATTTTAAGTGTATTTTGTGCATTTAACCTCTTACCACAATTTGAATAAAAAGACACAGTCCTCAACCTTTTTTTGGAAATGAACAAAATCTACTTCTTTACAGATTTTCAACCCGTGTAATCAGGAAGTACTTTGGTGACACTACTTCTGCCAAGTGGAGGAACTCTGCTAGAGGGCGTCGCCTGCCAGTACAGAGCAGTCAATGCCAGTGGGCTGCGGGGTGGACACCGCCAGCTGTCCTTGGTACTGGCTACGGCAGCTTCAGCTCCCCACTTAGCGCACAATTAAAAGCGTCTTTGTTGTGATGGCCTGGACTGCACTCTGCACTGGGAGGTCGGGTGACCACCCCGGGGTGCAGCGTGGCCTGAGCTGAGGACTCGAGAGGGCAGCGCTTCGTGTGCATTTTGTAGCTTAGGAGAGCTCAGGCCAGCTCGGTCTGCTCTTCCTGGGAAGCGATTATTAGATAACGTCCAGGGCCCTTCAGGCAGACCGCTAGGAGCACTTCAGCGTGCTTCCGTGCAGGACTGGGCCATTGTCTTTTTCCACTGAAAATGATGTAAGTCACTTATTCCCAAATCATTTAGATAAAAACAAATGAGTTAGCGAGCACACAACTGCCGCTGCAAGCCGCAAGAGGGGCTCTGGTATGTGAGAGGCCGAGAACGCAGCAAGGCCAACGCGTCACCAGCCACGCAGCTGACCCCGAGCTGGAGGATTCTTCCTTCCCAGCAACACACCGTGCGCATCGCCAGGCGGCACCGGAGGCTGCACTCGGAGCAAGAGCCCACGCAGCTGTCGAGGCTGCGAGCTGCGGGCCCCACAGCGGCGGCTGCCCAGCCCTGGCGTGCGCGGTCCGTAGGGCGCGGAGGTGCCCAGTGGACGCCCGCAAGATAAGCGCCGACGCCCCGGCCCTACACTGCCTGCAGGCAGACGGACAGGCTGAAGCGGCGCCCAGTCTCCGTGGCCAGAGGAGGGACAGTCAGGACCCACTGTCCACGGCAAAACGGATGTGACTCGGCACTGGACTTCGGTCCGGTCACTCTCAACAACCGGCTAGTTTAGCGCCCTCCTAACAGGAAACTTCCAGCTCATTCTAGTCAAAGTTTCAGATATCGAAGAGACTGAACGATGTGAATGTCTGCCATCGTGTTTGCTGAATGAGGTCCCGGCTGACTGCGAAGGGCCAACGGTTTCATGGCTACACGGCAGGTACAGCGCTTTGCCTCTGCGCTGATCTTACTATCAAGTATTACTGAAAATGAGTGTGCAGGCGGCATGGAATCGCTGCCAAGGAGGAAAGCTAACTCAATACCAGCACTACCACTGTGAGATTCCTTCACGGTGGGCAGAGACGCGGGAAAGCATGGCGAGAGCTACATGCAACCGATAATCAGCCTGGTGCCACCACTGCCCCGTCTCCCAGCGAGAGGTGGTGACTCTGCGGCCGCACTCGCTGCTTCCCGAGGGAAGGGAGCGCACGGAGGGTGTAACTCAGAGCAGAAAGACAAAGTAGACACGTACAGAACAACTGGTTATGCCCCCACAAATCACACGGTCAGTGGTTTTTTACCATGCAAACTCCCTGGGTGTTTACACATGTGAGCCAGTAACCAGCCTGCGCGTCACATTACTAGAGACGATCACATCCTTTAATAATTATTGTTGCAATGACAGGAACTGAGGGCAGTTTGTTAGACTAAACATGAACATTCTCACGCAGTTATTTTCCCGTTTATGTGGGGCTTATTCCTAAATGCTTTCAGGAATCTGCGTTGAGTGAGGAGCCCACAGGCGGCCCCCCCGCTGCGGGTGAACACGACGGGCTGCGCCGGGAGGCGCAGCGGGCAGGGTGCTGGCGACAGCATGTGCGGCCCGACCGAACGCGCCGCGACAAGGCAGGCAGCACGCCGCTCCGTCTCCGGGTCCCGTCTCCGACGCCACCTTCGCTCACATCTGCTTTTATGGCTTGTAGCCGTGCCCCTCTGGGCAGACCGCCCTGCGAGCAGGCTGTGTCTGGGTCTGGCCTGGGGGCGAGGCTGCGCCTGTGAGCAGCGGCGCCCAGCACACTGCCCGCGGCCGCGCTCAGGCCTGGGCGGGGGCCGGAAAGCGGCAGGAAAGCTCTGCCCCACCCCGGAGAGGAAGCGCTTTCTTTTCAGCAGCCGGTTGTTTTCAGTTCATCTGGTTTGTTTCTCTTCCGCGGGTTCCACAGCTTCTCTCACTCCGCGTTATACTCAGGGGCTGTCTCAAAGGCCACGGAGGACAGGCAGCAGGATGCGAGCTCTTAGCTCAGATGCTCCCAGCAGCCACCCGCGGACCGAGCCCTCAGCTCCACCAGGTAAGTATCGTGCCTGACCGGTGCCTCCGTGAGACAACAGCCTCGCCAGGTGGCGGCAACTGGGCCTATCGACGGCTTTTCCCTTTAGACCTACGTCGATTGCCAAAGTCAATCAGCTGTTTCTCTTCCGCCGTCAATGAGGCGATTGAACACACTGTTAATACAGTTAAGCTGTTTTGGTCTCAGCGTGCGTCCCATTCAGGGCCCCTCCCAGCCATATAGTGATTTTTAAATTTACATTTCCGTGCGTGAAGACTTACTCTGAATTGTAATCACCTACGACTTAGACAAATGCACGAAGTCACATGTTCACCATCACGTTACCTACCATAGCTCAGCCACTCTGGAAACACCCCTTTCCACAAAAGCCCGGTGACACTGACCTGTTCATCCACTTCACAGGTTGCCTTTCCCGGAGCTTCGTAGCCACGGATTTCCACAGGAATTTCAGACAGATTCTCTCAGCCACACGCATCTAAACTCACCCACGCTGTCTTGTGGGACTCAGTAGCGCCTTCCCTTTCATCACGGACTTCACTGCGGAATATGGTCCCCTCGGTCTGCTTTCCTTTTTGTTACTTTTATGGAAGCGCGTCCCGGTCACGTGCGGTATTTGGTATTCAGTGTCATGACCAAAGCTGCCCTAAGCTTCATGGCCTGGTTTTCGGTGGACATCAGTTTCAGATCAGCCGTACCGCACCCAGGC